GGCGCCAAGTACTCGGAGCACGGCAACCCCGCCATCCTACTCATGGGTGCGGCCAACGGCGGGCCCGTTGTCAAAACTGACTCGCAGCAGCCCCTCGTCTGGCCCGCCTGGGTGTATTGCACGCGCTACTCCGATCGCCCATCCTCCGGTGAGTACCTGAGCGCAGGCTTTCTGCGCCTTCCCGCTTAGAAGAGACCCCCTAGAACTGCACAGCACCGCACTGGGGAAAGCAGGTATCTCTCGTCGCTCAGGCCTCCATCCTCCTCCTCATTCCTGGTTTCAGTCACCACCGAATGTGCACCCCACTTAGGCGAACCTGGCCTCTTCGTCCACACCGGGAAACACACCTCCTGTCATCGGAGGCTGCAGTCTGAATCCCTTCATTTTTGAACTCTCAGCCTCTAGGCTTTGTGTTTTGCCTTTATTATTCTTAGGAAATATATACAATTAGCCATTGTGTTTTCATCCAAGGAAAGGGGTATTTAGTGCTGGTGTGAAGGTAGGCCTAGTGATCTGGGTTTGAAACCACACCAGGCTGGTGCTGTGGAGGATGATGTTGACCAGGGAGGGCTTTGACCAGAGAAATAATCTTCACTGCGTGTTCTTATAGACACAAACATTATCTTCATATTTTCTGTGGAGAGTCTACATAGAGACAGACACGGAAACACACACAGGAAGAGGACAGCCATTGAAGGCTAGCCTCTTCTAGCTGGGTAGCAAGACAATCAGACCAAGTGGGTAATATCCAGAGAAGAGCAGTTGCCAGTTCGATGAAGGCCCAGGGCCCTTGGTTCTCTGGAGCTGGCAGACGGTGAGAGAAGAGAGAAAGGCAACAGGACCCAGGCGTGAAAGCAGGGTGAAGGGCAGGAAAGCCAGCTTCCTTTATAGCTTCTCCCCAGCGCACAAGCAGGTCCCACACGGCAGGCCCTGTGCTTTTCCTCCTTTGACTCCTTTCCACACCTTCCAGTTAGCAGATTTCTGCCAGGACAGGATAGTTTTTCTTGACTTTCCTTCCATTCTTGTTCCTGTGCCCCTTGTACTTGGTGAACCCAAGGCCTTGACCTAATCTGTGACAGCCATTGGGCTCAGGGTGAGGAGGTTGAGGCCTGCTGGATACATAGGCCTGCAGGGCCTGGCAAGCCAGTGGGAACTTAGGAGAACGGCAGGGCTTCAGCCCAGGATGGGGAGCCAGGCACAGTTACCTACATGCGGCGCGGCTGCTCTCCTCTGGCCAGTATCTGTGGCTGTACTGCTACCAACCAGGCACAGATCGATGTATACTATCAGCCCCCGCCATCTCGAGCCCTGTTATTGACACGTCCGGCTCCCTGAACCTCCGAAAAGCTGCTTTGATTGACTTGCCTGATGGATAGAGTGATTGAGCTGTCAGGCTGCGTGGCTCAGGCTGGCCAGGAGGCTATGATTTTATTACAAATGCCCCTGCCTCTGCGCACAGAAACACACACACACACAGACACACACAAACACACACACACACACACACACACACACAAATACCACTCTCTCATGCCCCAGATGCACAACCTGCAATGAAGCCTTTCTGAGGATGTGCACATTTCCTGGCCCATCTATGCCCGCTCAGCTAATTACTAACCTAAACCCCAGATCTGCTCTGGAGCAGGCCTTGTCTTTGTTCCTGGCCGCTCTCCTTCATGTGGGCCAGGAGAGGCAGGGTGCCAGTTCTTATTACTATGTAATAGTGCCCTGTTATGATGACCCAGACCCGAGTCCCTACAGTCTGAAAGGCCTGGACTCTGACATGGGACAGCTGGTGACCCCAGGACTTGGCCTGCCCCAGGATCCTATGGCCCAGCTTGCCCTTCTAAAGCTAGTTTTAGGGATGCCTTTTAAGGAGCCCTCTTTCCTGAGAATTTTAGAAAGTCTGGATAAGAACTTAACAAAATAATCTCCCATAACTAAGACAGGGCCCCGCAAGTCAATGCCAGGGGACTTGGACATAGAACACGTTCAGGCTTTCCAGGCACAGACCAACAGGGGAGTTGCATCTTCTGCTAGTTTTCTTCTGGCTCTGTTTCTCCAGGGCTGGCCTTTGAGGGAGACTTCACCTTCTTGGAGAAGCTTCCTGTGGCTTCTTCCATACCCATCTTGGGGTCTTAGCGCTATCCCTTTGCCCCTGTTTTGTTCATGGATGGGAAAGGGGATGTGTCACCTTTTAAATGCCATGAGCAAGCGGAGAAAGCAAGTCTGGCTTGTTTCTGCTATAAAGAAGTTTCAGTTCTAAAACTGCAGCAGGTATATTCAAGGGAGAAATAAGAGAGACTTGCCTCTGTGGCTGGGTGGAGAAATGGGAAGGACCTTTTCTCTTATTGACGCCATCTAAGAGGCAAGGAGGAATACCCCAAAGAGCAAGCTCTTGGTGTAGGCCTGCAGCTGGGTGAGGACCCATTCTTCAGAGAAGGAGCAGTTCAGTGTCTTCCCAGGTTCTAGAAAGAGCTTTCCTTTAGGCAAAGAGAAAGAAGAGTAGGCAAAGATAGCAGACACAAAATTCTTTGGCGCTAGGCAACCTTCTCAAAGCCTTTTCTCGTTCTCTGGGCCCTATGGCTGCAAGCAGATAGGTTTTTATTGTAGGTGCCCAGCGTAGGTAGCTTTTGGAGAAAGAATATCTGTATGTGTGTGTGTGTGGGGGGGTGTTCTGCAGTTCAGTCATCCCCCGACAATCTGCCCTGGCAGCCTTAGTCCTTTTTATTTCAGAGCTGTGAAGACAGCAGATCTCTGACCCCCAACTCCGGGCTAGGCCAAACTGGGGCTCCAAATCTCTCTCCATCTTGAATGCTCTTCTTGGCGGGAAGTGCCATGCTATGTCTATTCCTATCTCTCTTGTTGCGATTAGAGTGTGGGGTGCATCTACAGTCCCGGCCAGTTTTCCCTCCTTGACCCTGCCCCCCACAAGGTAACCAGCCAGACCCCAGTGACCCCAGTGATCCAGAGGTTGGGTGGCCATAGGGAGCCAGGGGCTCAGTAGGGCCTCCCAGGTCTTCCCGGAAGCGAGAAGCGGAGCGGCGGGGGTCTGGGCTCCGCCAGGCTCGGCCATTCTCACGGCTTCCTCTGCCCTCTCATCCCCCTCCCCTCTGCTCCTGTCCCCACCCCAACCCGGCCCTGCCCGCCGCTGCAGGTCCACGCACCAGGAAGCTGAAGAAGAAGAAGAACGAGAAGGAGGACAAGCGGCCGCGGACGGCTTTCACGGCCGAGCAGCTGCAGAGACTCAAGGCGGAGTTCCAGGCGAACCGCTACATCACAGAGCAGCGGCGGCAGACCCTGGCCCAGGAGCTCAGCCTCAACGAGTCCCAGATCAAGATCTGGTTCCAGAACAAGCGCGCCAAGATCAAGAAAGCCACGGGCATTAAGAACGGCCTGGCGCTGCACCTCATGGCCCAGGGACTGTACAACCACTCTACCACTACGGTCCAGGACAAAGACGAGAGCGAGTAGCTACGGAGGCCCCGGCCGCGCGGTGGGGCCGAGCCTCGCCCCTTCCCGGCATCGCCTCCTGCTCCTCCCTGCCGGCGCCTGGAGGGAGGGATCGAGCTGAAAGACCGAAGAGAAAGAGCGATCCTCAGAATGGACAGTCACATTTGAACGAAACGGTTTTGAAAAGGGAGAAAGACTCGGATAGGTGCTATCGAAAAATATGATCTATTCTCTATTCACAGTATAAGGGATGAAACTGCGAACTCCTTAAAGCTCTATCTAGCCAAACAGCTTACGACCTTGTATATATTTAATTTCAGGTAAGGAAAAACAAATGTGTAGCGATCTCTATTTGCTGGACATTTTTATTAATCTCCTTTATTATTATTGTTATAATTATTATAATTATTATAATTATTTTATCCCTCTCCCCTGCCTCGCTGCCCCCGGCCCAGTTTCGTTTTCGTTGCCTTTCCCCCCTCTTTTGAATATTTTCGCTCCTCCGGTCCCCAGCCCCTATCGCTGACCCTCATTTCTCTGGGACTTTTCTTTGTGTGCGTGAGAGTGTGTTTCCTCGTGTGTCTGCCCCTCGCCTCTCCCCTACCTCCCATGACCACTCTGTCCGTCTGTCTGTCCTGCCCCCGTTGCTTTCCGGAGACTCGTTGAGAAATACAACCCCACAGACTGCGAGACTGAACCGCCGCTACAAGCCAAAGATTTTATTATGTTCAGAAACCTGTAGTCTGAAATAAAGTGTACACTGTGCTCACGAGCCGCTGACAGTCTCCTCCTTGCGGGGCTGGGAAGGGTATGGGCCCGGGCACGCCGCAGCCGGCCTTTCTGCGCACAGGGCGGAGCGCCCCAGGCATCTCCGGCCTGGCCTTGGCCGAGCAGCGACAGTGAGGGGCAAAGGAGAGCATGGAGGCAGAGGCGGCTTAGTTTTGGGTTTGACTCGGGACTGGAGGTTTTGGCGAAATACACCTGGGCCCCAATTGCATTCAAGGGAAACGGAAGGCTGAAAAGCCCAGTCCTGGCTTCGGAAACTGCACAGGCTGCCGGCTGCTCCTTGAGCCCTGCCAGGCCAAGGCTGGCTTTGTCATCTTCCAATATTGAACCTGCGTCTGGCGCCAGCCTGCACCTTTTCTTTTCCTTTTTCTTTCTCTCTGCCTGCCTTCCTTTTTTTTTTTTTTTTTTTTTTTTTTTTTTTTTTTTATGTGAGATTTCTAAGAGCCTTTCTCCTTCAAATGCACAAGGTTTTCTCAGGACTGACAGAGATTGGGTGGCCTATGCTCTAGGGTGAGAGCTTTCTTCCAGGCCTCTGCAGCCTGAACTTAACAGTTCTTGGATTCCTCCTTTGGCGGGGTGATGCTGTTGGCCAGGTGATGGGTCTAGGTGGCACTTGGAGCCTTGCTGGGCTTGGCTCTGCACAAATCTAGGGGAGAAGAAGCCTGAATACTAGGTAAGCACTATGGAGTGGCCACTGCTTGGTCTTCTTGCCTGTAGCCCCAGCAAGTGGGTTTAGCCCTGCCTCTTTCTAAGCCAACCCCTCAGTATCTCAACAAAGCCTGGCTTAAACCCTAACCCCTCAGCATCTCAACAAAGCCTGGCTTATTGCCGGCTCGGAGGAAGGAACACACATAACTCCCTTTGACTGGCAGGACACCTGGTCACCCAGAGGGAAATGTCTGGATTCTTACTGGTGACCCCGAGGCCAGTTCTTCCAGACCAAGCACTGTGTCCTCCAAAGTTCAAGAGTTGGGGGAGGAAGGGATGTTTCTCCTAGGAGGGATTATTTTCCTTTGTCCAGTTTTGAAATTATATATGAATTTCACTCCCCCCATTTTCTGACCTGTGCAGCATAGATCGGTGTACCTGCATGCATATAATATGGCTAGGCAGGTAGGTGTCCACACACACACCTATGTGATACTATGGGATAGTGGTATATTTCAGGTCCTACTAGTTTTATGCATAATCCTGTATGTGTGCATGTAGTGGAAGTTGGTGTCGATTTCTCTGGTTAGGGTCATAATTGGATGTTTGTAATTTCACAGTGTGTATTATGCACTCAATTGTGTTTGCACATTGGAATGTTTGCAGGTGTGTTTTTTTGGGGGATTGTGCATGCATGGGAACACTTGTTTTCTGAGTACCTCTCTTGGTTGTTTTTATAGGATTGCTTTTGTGAGAAATGAGGATTCCCAGTCATTCCCTTACTCCTGGCCAGGAAAATGACAATCCCAACCCTCCAGGTCTAAGAAGTTAAGGGCCCCTCCAAGTCCCTCCACAGTATTTGGGAAGTTGGGGTTGGGTGAGCTGGAGTTAAAGGGTACATTTGACATTGCTATGAGTCCCCAATTTACTTCAGTGATTCCCTTTCTTTCATCCCACCTTTGTTTTCTTGATTAATGCCTGCACATAATAGGTGCTTACCCAACCTGCCTGTGAGTTAGATGAAATATGGGCCTTGAAGGTGGCTTGGAAGTATGCTTTGCTCTCCTTGAGGAGTCGAACTGGGAATTTTTAAGCCCCTGCATCCCTTCAACTTAGAGAGTATGGGTGTTAGGGCTCAGGGTACCTGTCCTCTTATCTGGTTGCTCAGAACTTCTGTAGCAGTCCTGGCCCTATTTCCTTCTCCAAGCACATCCAGATATGAGATGGGAGTTTTCAGCTTTACAGAAACCTTACCATGTTGAGTGCCTGGATATTGGGTGGTTCCTACTCCCTTCCTCACTGTGGCTTCTTGGGATAGTTAGAATAGATAAGCTCTCCAAGACCACCAGGTTCATTACCTGAACACAGGTAATGTGAGCAGCAATCCCAGGAAGGATATACCATTCTGTAAGGCTCCTCCCCACCTCTTCCTAGTGATCAAAGCCAGCAAGTGAGGAGGGGTCATCACCTCTCCCCAGGATGTGTTGGCAAAGTATAGAGTTCCAGTGTTTATTAATTAATTTGATTTCTTGCTCATTATCTTGCTCATGATCTTTCGATTGCTGTGGACATTTCCTTCATTGTTCAGCAAAGCAAACTGAAGCTCTGAGACCTTAAACATTTTGTCCCTGTCTCTTCCATGCTTGTGCATCTAGGTCACAGACACAAAAGTCTGTGCAAGGCCCGACCACGTCATCTCCAGAGTGACTTTCTTATCTTCTATCTCCCTCCTCCTCAAATATTCATTCTTCTTTATTGGGCAGAGAAGAGGGGAAGACTCTGGTCAGACCTTTTTCTTGCAAATCCCCCCTCTTTTAAAAAACTGCAAGTAATAATGATCATAAACGGGCATTGATTTTTCTGATTTATGGGGCTGGCTTAGTGAGCAGCCTGTGTATTAAAGTCTAGGGGAGTGGAGATAAATACTCGAACACTCCATCACAACTTCCTCATTTTCTACCTTTCCCTTTTTTTCCCCCTTAAAGATTGGATTGAACCATAAACTTAAATCTTCCTCAGCCTAGGAGGAAATAAGTGCTAGCCAAGTCTAAACAATATTGATCCCTGGCTCTTTCTAAGGGCAAAGGTCTCTGTTTTCTTCCTGGAAAACTCCTTTTCCTGGGTGGAGGGTGCTGCTTGTGAATGAGGAGAGAGGGAGGAGAAAGTGCTTCGGAAAGAGGATATTTTGGTATTTGGGCATGAGCTTCTGTGTTCTGAGGTCTTACTGTGTATGGTATTTGTCTAGGGGTGGTGTTGATATATTTATTTAGGCTTTGAGGGTGACAGTGTGTACTTTGAACATAGGGACCTTGACTGAGAGTGACTATTTAGCATTTATGGGTATGCGTATGTGTGCCCAGGTCTTAGGCCCCTGAGGTGGGACTGCTGAGGACACTGACAGTGGCTAGTCTGCCTGCTCCCTGGCCACACACTCCGACCTGTCGGAAGCCTCTGTAGCAGGGCTTCCAGAGATGAAACCACAGTGCCTCGAACCCTATCCTTCTTCCACTGTTCTCAAGAAAAAAAGCCCCCCCCCAAAGCCAACAAGGCCAGCTGCAGGGGCAGAGGTGAGTTGCTGCTGACTCCCAGAGGCACAGCAACCAGGCCAGGGCTAGAGAGGGCCTGGCCACACTTCTGGATGCAGGTATCTACTGTGGCTTCTCTGGAGTGGCTATCACTTCCTCCGTTGGTCAGCCCATCTTTTCCATTATGTGTTCAAGAAAAGCCATTCCTCTGGCTACACAGATAACACATTCTTCATTGCTTTCCACTTGCACATGTGAAAGAGGCTGAAGACAGAGAGACCATCCATCCCTCCAGTGATCTTCCCTTGGCTTTGGCAGGTAGCCTAGGTCCGTTTAAGCTGGACAGGATGGACTTCTCTCGGCCTGACGGAAGTGGTGCAGAAGTGCTCCATCCCTCTTTGATAGACCAGAGACCTCTGCCCTCCGTCCTTCTCTGATCTCAGAGAGGGCTGCCCTTGCGTGGGGACTTTGGAAAGAGAAATAGCTGGAGATTCTACTGGTTCCTACCCTGCCCTCCCTAAATGTGTTAGAAGAGTCTTTTAATACAGTTCTGCTGTTGGAGTTGCCCTTGGAAATTCTTGAATAAAAAGTTGTTTTTTTTTTACAGGCAGGGAGCTGAGGATGGGGGGATCCAGAGAGGAAAAGTGTCTCACTTAACAGTGCACAGCAAATGAGAAGCAAAGCCCTCCTGTCATTCCAGGGCTCAGTGAATCATCAAGTGGGTAGTTGTAATGCATATGCTGCACGCCACACATGTAAAATCATCCACACAAGCATGCATGCACACACCCATGTGGATATGTGTATACACAAGGAAAATGCACATCTACAAATATAAGTGAGGTGATGACAGAATTGTGTTCACAGCAAGCACAGGCACATTGCCGGGGTAGGAGTTTCTGGCACATATACATTGGCAGGAAATACATATACTGGTGTCAGAAATGTTTCTGTATGCCCCAGCTGGTAGGCTTCGTTCCAGCCAGGGTAGGGCACAGGACATGATTTGCAGAGCTGGGGATAGATCTGCTTGTCTACCCCTTTCCACGGAGGTCCCCAAAGAGAACTAGGGCTGAGGTAGTGGGTTGATTGGGGGAGGGGATAGGAAGACTAAGATCAGGGCAGCCAGCAGAGAGGAGAGGCACTCTTTTTTCCTCTCCCCAGGGACAGCTGGGTCTGGATAACTTGGCTGGACACAAATAATAGCTATCAGCCTCTTCCTTCAGCACTGCACACTGTCCCTGACCAGCTCTACTTCCTGGGCAGAGCAGACCCAAGGCAGGAGTGAGCAAACTTCCTAAAAGGAGTTCTCAGAGAGCTTGGTAAGTCATGG